ATTTCTACGTAAAGCAAGTTCCTCCATCCGCACTTTAAAAAAAGAAACCCCTTAAAGGTAGTTACTTCGAATTTTCCGCCTTGAATAGTCCCGAGGGCCTTTGAGGAAGTGACTTCTCGGGTTGTTACACTTTAATTCACAAAAAGGGCGAGGAGGAAAATGAAATCTAAGAGGAGATTTCGTGCAGAATTGTGTGAAAGGATCTCGGAAGTGAGCTCTAAATTTTCCCTAAACGATGGGAACACGCTCGGCGCGTGGCCTTATAATGATAATGGTGATATGAAATAATTATTATGATAATAAACCCGGGGATGATTTGGTAGGGGGAGGGTTAATCGAGACGTAACCCTTCGTCTGCCGCTGAGTGGGGTGAGTTAATCGAAATCCGAAGATGGGTTTTCTTTTACAAGTCTACGCTTTCGCTTTTCTGGCTCCGAGTGTGGGTGTGGGTTCGAGTCGGCTGGGGAAGGGGGTAAAAGAGTGCTGGAGGAGGGGGCGGGAGGCACGAGTTCCTGTAAAGCGGGTAAAAAGTGCGGTATTTATCAAATTTTAGGCGGCGCAGAAAGGAACGAAGTTGCGGTTGCCATGGTGACTCGAGAGTCTGAGGCTCGCTTTACGAGCATCTTTGTTAGCGGCGTCGCGTCGCATGGAACCGATTTCCCTGTCCCAATTTACTGAATTTAACTTTCCGCGACTGTTAATATAACTTGTCTGTAGCGGGGAACCATCGAGTTTAAAATAAGTGAAGTTGCTCAAATAGCAACGGTGGTGAGTTTCTTCGAAAGCAACGGTGGCGCGTTTCCTAAAAAGCAACGATGACGAGTTTCCTGGGAGAGCAACGATGGCAAATTTCCTCAAAAAGCAACGATGGCGAGTTTCCTGGAAAGCAACAATGACGAGTTTCCTCGAAAGCAACGATGGTGCGTTTACAAAAAAACCAACGATGACGAGTTTCCGAATTAGTTGATGGTTAGAGCTGATCGATCGAAAGGCAGTCAGACTTCATAGAGTATCTTGAAAATGTTCCAATTTCTTCGGACAAAAAAACATTGCATTATCGATACTGTGAAATGCCCAAAAGGCATTTACTGGAAAGATAAAGCTGTAAAATGGCTGCAGGAAAAAAAAACCTAGAGGCNGGGGGGGGGGGGGTTTGAATCGTCTGCGCAGTAATAGCGGATGATGATCCACTGATCCTCTTATTCTTCAATCAAATTTACATTATCCATTTCAGTATACGGCAAATCAGAATAAAAACCATGATACATCTCATCAATGCATTCTGAGTGGTGCATTGCTGCGGCACACAATGGATCGAGTCAATACGAGAGGTCGGACAAAATTCGGAAACTTCAAACGCTTATGACTCCTTTTCTACAAAACTTTGAGGTTCTATAAGTGGTTCCATTGGTTTTCTCGTGAAAGTTTCTTCAAAAAGCACTCCATAAAGTTTAAAATGTGGGGAAATTAACATCAAAATTTGCAGTTTTTGTCAGAAATTTCATGTCCGACCTCTCCGATTGACTCGATCCACTGTGCGGCAGCGAAGAGATCAAAGCTATTTGCAAATCGTGTCCGCCCCTGTTTTTAGCCTATTCCTCCTCAATTTTTCATATTTTTTAAAGGAGTGTAGTATATTCATAGGTGAGAACTTATTATTCACTTTTTTGTACAAATCTGCCCTTATACTTCCTTTTCAAATTCTTCAGTGGCACTCTTCTTTGCTGGCAAAATAATTGCTGTCTCTTTCCGTCAAAATTTTCCCCCTACATAAGTCTCTTTTTATGGGTGAAAATTTACTTGCATTGTCTTCTGTTCCTTGCTTCCATTGATTTTCTATGGACTCTTTACTGCACTCTCCATGAACCGTTCCATTAATTTTACCCAGCCATTCTTCAAACTTATTACCTCTCCTCTGTTCCGACGGTTCTTTCAAATCCAATGCTGTATCATCTTTTCTAATCTCGCCGAATGGTGCGGCAGCTTAGTCGGTCAGCGCGAGAAGTATACGAGCGCCTACAAGACTGTGGGAATACTTCACGCATTGCGCTTAATGCAGCGCGTTCGCTGGTCGGCGCGGAGAGCATGTAAGCGCCTACAAGACTGCATGAATACTTCACGCATTGCGCCAAACACAGTGCGGCCACTGGTCGACGTGGAAAGCATATTATTAGCGCCTACCAGACTGCCGTTACGTGTGAGCAAACGAATATCTCCTCGGTGCCTCCTCCGAACAAAATAATTGTGTAATTTTATGGAACGTGCGAGTTCGGGGTGTTTGGGATTCTTCTCCCATATCTGCGCCTAGGAGAATGTTCTGGATTATTACTTCTACGTTCCCAAAGTGGGGAAAAAGGGGGAAAACGAAAAATTATTTTCTACCTTTAAGTGTTTGGGCGTAAGATTTTGTTAATTATTATTCCTACAGTGATTTGCGGCGTATTTTGGCCACTCATCTCGCCTTTTTTCGAGATGGTGGCTTTAGCGGACAGCCGATTCCGGTAGACTTTTGATATGTTATTCTGGTGGCCGATTATAACATGTTGCTGCAGAGAAACCTTCTATACATTGATTTTCCCAGATTGTCCTTTTTAGAGCTACTTTGACTGAACTATCTAAAAAAATTACCCTTCAATTATTCTGCCGTCCTATAAGGCAAAACGCCGTACGAGCCATCAGGTGTTGCCAAATTTCCCTTGACTAATCACTATTTTTGGAAATGTTTCACATTTTCCTCTAAAAAGTCTGAAAGTTTCAAGAGAAATATTCACAACTTTCATCAAACATAAATATTTACCGACAGAAAATTTGGCAACATTCGAATCCGCGTACGGCGTCATTACTTAGCACGGCAGAGTTTTCCTATATGCTATTAATATCCGACTTAAAATGCATCGGTTCTAAGAATATTTTTAGCAGGGCAGATGATACCATTTCAAATCCAGGAAAGCACTGAAAACAAATTCTCGGCGTTTTTACCAAGGTCCGTTGGTACCTTTATCATCTCACTTTTTTTACCAATTATTGGTAATTTTACCAAGACAGACTGGTAAGCTTACCTAAAAACCGGTATTATTACTGTTTTTTTCAGGTAAGAATACCACTTAATTGGTAATCAATTCCCGGTAACTTTGCCATTTTATCTCGGTAATTCTACCATAGTCGATGAAAAATGTTGGCGTTTTTACCTCGAGTTATGTTAGGTTAGGTTCGGTTGGTAATTTTACCGAGATTTCTCGGTAAAATTACCAATTCCATGAATGGTAAGTTTATCAAGAAAAAACTGGGATCAAATAGAACCCTGAATTCTTGGTAATTTTACCCTTTCTTAGTAAATACACCGAGATTTTTTTTTCAGTGAGGCAGGCTCATCCTGGCCCCTTAAAAGCAACGCCACTAGCCTGTGTCACACTATCGAAGTTAGCCATCACAACATCAAGGTCAGGTGTTGTGATTGGCTTATTCGATGACTCGGACCAATCACAGCACTCGATCTTGACATTTTGATGGAGTATTTTGATAGTGTGACAAAGGCCGTTTTTCTGGAATCGAGTTGGACAATCTGAGTAGCTAACCTTTCGTGTGAGCCCGTTGCAAGCCAATTGATATCGATCACAATTTGCCTATGAAGCATACCTAAAATACACTGGCAAGCATAGAAAAGGCTTCTGCAAAGCATGATATCAGCCTGTTGAAAAATAGACTTTGAAAGGACGGACGGCGCATCAATGTGGAGGGATGGGGAGGCGAGGAGGCCGTCCATCTTTTGCAGTTGTGTTGTGATTGTGAAGTGCGCCGCGGCGCGCGTTATGAGGCCTCCCGTGGCGCGGGAGTTAAACAACCGCTTCCGTTCGATCAATTGTTGAATCACTAGAACTTGACCCTTAAATTCAATGTTTACTTTTAAACGTCCAAATGCGCCTTACTTGTAATCGACCGTCGTCCTCGTGACCCGCGCTCCCGCCATTCCTCGGCCGCATGCTACACGTAGTATGCAGTGGCGTGGCGTGCGCTTTGCGATATCTCGATTGAACTGCCGATTAAACCTATGGAAAAGTATCGATAGACAGGGTGTCCTCAACGAATGCCTCAATAATCGAGATTTTACCCAAGCTTCAAATGGGGAAATATCGATAATGGATAGTGGATCACTAAACCATGAACAAACTTTGACTTGCGAATACATACCCCAAGATAGATGACGCATAGAAATCGATGCGCACATTTAAAACGCGAAAAAGTAACTCAAAAACCGAAAAATGCTCAATTCAAAAATCCCAACTTTTCCGGAATAATCTTTTTGGCCCCCCTTTTTTCTTTTCCTTTTTTAAAACTACTTTTACGCTAGTGGCTTGATTTCTTTCTGCTTACACGATCCATTTCTCTCTGTGATCTTGCAACTTTTCTGAGAACATACTCTTAATGGAATAATGATCTGAGAGAGCTGTCTCAATACTGTCTGAGAAAGCTGTCTCGATGCTCGAGCTGTCTGTTCCGACGGTGAATCAAATATAAAATTATTGGAATATCTTCAGAATATTCTAATGTTTCCAGGGTTTAGTTGGATTTATTCAGGTGAATGAGAAAATAAGCAGCTGCTAAGACTGAAAAAGTTGAGATTTCACTTCAAATGTGAACGAATTTCTGTAGATATCCTAGACGTTCGTCTCCGCAAGACGAATTTTGCCCCCTTTCAGTTTCAGTTAAAATGACATCTCCGAATGCTTAATGTACGTATAACTTAGAGAAGAAACGCATTTTTATTCAAAAAGGTGAGCGATTTCTGCGAGAGTATAGGCTCTCTTTCGACATTCCCGTAATGTATGATAATTCGACTTGAAGCTTTGATCCTTACATCAGAAAAGTACGCAAAGGGGGCTCAGCCCTAGCCCCTGTATGGGCCTGAACGCTATTGAAAAAGTTTACTGCGATAGATTTCAGTCATTAACATGAACAATTTTTAATAAATAAATTATTGAAATAATTTAAAATAGGCTTACCATATCGGCAGTGAACGAGCGTTTTGGTTAGAACGAAGATCCAACCTCACCTAGAACAAAGAAATGGATACATTTTTAGAAAATTTTCATAAACGTAGAAAATTAAAAATCAGATGACATTCGCTGCGGACTGATTGTTGAAATCGGTAGACAAAGCTATGGACAAAGAAGACAACAGGGATATGGAGGAATCCTATTGGTGGAAACGAGTGGTTGAAATAGACAAAGGACTAACTGACGACCAACGAGACCCACTAGTTAGTTCATCAAATTCTCCTTCGGTCTAGGAAACATCCATTCCAACCAATAGGATCGCTTCACACTCCCTATGCCTTTTTGTCTATTGCATGTCGAACAATTTCAACAATCAGCCCGCTGATTGCAATGTAAGTTGAGAATATAACAATGGTATTCCATTTATCGTTATTGGTTTTATGACTGAAGGAACTGCACGCTCACTCAATTTTTTTCAAATTGACTGACGTCTTTTAACAACGAGAACAAGCCGTTAGGAACAACAATAATTCACGAGGAGAACCATATTCAACATACAGGAAAGCTTCTGAGCACTTGTGATTTCCTATTATATCCAGAGAAACTCGTTTTTCATGCCTTTCACATCTTTTCTGGCAAAGTTTCGGCAGTTAATTTTCTGACTGCGACAGTTGTCGAGAAATTTTTATTTCGCAGCATTCCTCGTTTTCATGCCTGGAATTCCGTGCCACACGTTTGGTCCAGCCGTCACTAATCGAATGACGAATTTGTACGAAAAACTTTTGATTCCTATGGGATTATGGTGAGTGTAGGTGTTAAACGTCCCTACCTAAGGATCAGAGGTTGTTTTCCCGCGCTTAGCTGTAAATTTTCGAAGCTTATTTTCAAACGAGCGAGACATAGTGTCTCTCGATATAAAACTCTCGAAAAGCAATTAAAACACTCGCTGTAAACGGAAAGGAAAAAATCCTCCATGATCGCTATAGTTATGAATTTTATTTTTTTAAAAATTCTAAAAAACCTGTCCTGTCCTGAACCTTTGTCGTAAAGTAACAAGAAATCAGGAAAGGTTTCTTTTTTACAAAAGATAAGTGAACGGTGTTTCATCTTGAAATTACTTTTGACTTTTCTTTACTTATTCAAACATATGCACAGGGTACATATGTATTTCAATGAAATAATTTGATCGGTCTCCTTTTGAAAAAATAAAACATAAGTAATAGGAAATGTTGAAACGCTGCAAAGAAGAAACGCACTCTTCACCTTCAAAGTATTCAATATACAGAAAACAGCAGATTGCGGTTTGATAACGTCAAATCTGAAAGGGTCATTGCCGATCCGAAATTAAAGCTCTTACTGCAGTTTGAGTTTCATAGCAGCGGATCTTGGATTTTAACATTATTGTGATACATACATATTATTTACAGAGATTGAACAAGGTGCCTTCGACTAGAAATAACAATCCTGACCGAAGCCCGTGGAACGGATGCAAAGCGACGTCTTTGCGATGATGACGAAAGTAGATGCAACTATTCGCGCTCCATGGATGTCCGTGTTGCATGCGAAAAATTGAAGGCGCTTTGGGTTTCTTCGCCTGCACAGTGTAGCTGTAGCATCGCGTCGTCGCCCGTCGCATCGCAGCGCAACACTCGCGGCATCGTTAGACGCACCGGTTGGAAAACGTTTTAAATACTTGCTAAATATGCAAAGTCCAATTTTTCCAGAAAAGGAAATGGCTTCCGATGTTGAGGCATACTTCGTAAAAATAAACTCTTACTACGTCCCTTCTAAGGTCTGAGAAGTTTAAAATTGCAAAACGGAAAAAAATACCTCCACGCAATTGCAAATTTGAGGCGGCTCGCTCTACAGACTAATATACAGAGCGAACGTGCATTGAAAAAAAAGTACAAGCTGCAAAATTCTTAGGGAATCAGGGTTTCCATAATTTCTTCATCTCCAAATTCCCTGACTTTCCGCGATTTATCGCTATATTTCTTCCCTGACTCCAAAATTTTCTAATTCCCTGACTTTCCCTAGCCTTTGAACAAAATTTTCACTTTTATATAATACGCTAACTTTCGCTAAACTTTGGACAAAATTCCCCTGTTTGGAGGTCAAATAGTTGAGAAAGACAATCAGCAGCTCGTTAAAAGATGATTAACCTTACAAATGGCCAGAATGGGTAAATAGTTGGAAGATTAGTACTGGAAAAAAAAAACACATTGGATCTAGAGTCCAGACTCTTAAAAACATTGGCAAGAAAAAATACTCTTGATTCAATCGGATTTTTGCTTGAATCAAAACGAAATCCGCTTAAATTAAGAGGCTTGGTTCTTGATTTAAGCTAGATTCTGATTGAATCAAGAGTACTTTTTCTTGTCGATGTTTTTAAGAACCTGGACTCTAGATCCAATGTGTTTTTTTTTTTTTCCAGTGAGTGTTATGTTTCAGTGTTTAGTAGATGAATCAGAAATTTCCTTACTATTCCCACGAATTCCCGGACATTTCTCGGTCGTTGCGAGTTCCCTGATTTTCCAGACCGCCGGCAACCGTGGGAATAGAATCATGCTTTGATTCTATATCCCGTGAAATTGGTTGCCCCGATTCAGTTCATGCCGGAGGGTTTAAAGCACGGTGAGATCAATAAGCAGGACTCTTCGAGTTTGAACTCGGCAAGTATGTATTGAAACAACACGAAAAATAGTTGGCCGCGATACAAGATCCGCGGGAGGAGAGAAAACGTGCACTTTGATTGGATCCCCTGCAACTGACCCATTGCAAGACACAACTTCAACTTGATCGTCGTTTTAGGTCATCAACCTGGTATCAGCAATAGGTTTAAGATTCTAACTTTCCATACAGGCCCGCTTCTGCTGCCTCTGGCAGAAAAACTGCCCTCTTTTTTCACGAGTCTGTAGAGACAACTAAAATATAATTGAAATGAAATCTCGTATGTACTGAGAAAATTTTCTTTATAATTTTTAGTCCGCATACAGCAGTGCAAGTACATTCATAGTTTAAAAAAAATAATGCAACATTGGCAATGCTACAGTATCAGAACAATTTTTGAAATCAAGGTGAAAATTGTCTAGAGGCTTGGAGTAACATTAGGTTTCTTTTTAATTATATGTATATGTCGATCAGATCTTTAGCTTTTCCGAAAGAGGCAGAAAAAAAGCACTTTTCCTTGGAGGCCCGAAAAGAAACAACTTCTCTGAGAACATAATTTGAATGCTGTTTTGCATGGTTATAGGGTTACTTATATTGCATGATGGTCCGTTTGACATCTCCGACTTCGGTTGATCCACGGGGGGAAAAAACAGGAGGTTGTTGCATGATATGGACATTTCCAATTAATTGTGGTAGAACAGCTCAATAAATTAGGCTACTGACCCAAATGTCTCGGTACTACCATAATTAATTGGAAATGTCCACTTCATCCAACAAATTGGGGCAGTACCACAATTTTAGGGGATAACTCTTGACACTTTATCCACGTCATTTTAGTACTAGAAATCTTTAATCTTCGATTCAGACGCTGTCACATTTTAATCGGAAGATGAATCTTAACGGAGGTTGATGGAACTAAGCCTGAAACACACTGATAAATGTGAGACATTAAGACGACTAGAAAGATTGTGTTGCGCGAAACTTTTGTAAGACGAAAAGAGAAGTGGCTTTGAAGAAAATTAACTTGAAAATCACGATGATTGCAATGTGAAGGTCTGAAATTCACCCCTGACTGAACAATCTGGGTAGAAAAATGTCGCATAGCGGATTCGGATAGTTCGTCTACCATGGCAAAGACATGCATAATTACGTCTTTCTCCTGACAAAAGGTGCAAGTACACTTCGCGATGAACCTGGTCCAGTGGTGAATTTTGAAAGTTGGCACCACTGTTTTTCCTCAGTTTATTTATATAAAACTATCGATTCGTGGATAGGTAGCTTACACCACCTGAAATCGATATTTTTAACAGATTTCAATTCAGGGGAAACAGTGTTAGCGACTTTCAAAAATGAACCAGGTGGTCCATAAAACTCAAAGCTTTCCAAGACTCATCTCTGAGTGTAGGTACGCCCTTTTGCCGGCCAAACGGAGATTTGGACTACATTTTGCGATCTGGAACTACAATGTTTGGCTCTATCAATAAACAGCGTATGTACCATTAGTATCCCTATGTTCATACGTGTTTTTACAGATGAGTCAGTAATAGTAGTTCCTAATTGCTGCAAAATGAAGTCCATTTGATACAAAGCCGCGCAACTGCTCAAGACTGGAAATGGCCGTCGTCTTGTGGCACAGTTACTGACATAAAAAAAACAACGTAAGTACGTCCTCTCATTAAACTTTTGAGAAGCAGGTCAAAGAAAATGATGGATGATTATCGTTTGTTGCGTTATTTATTTTCTTTTTTTCATTGAAAAACTACGACACAAGGAGGAGGTCTATTTTCAGTCTCGCTTAGGATGAAACTACTGAGATGGAGTTAGGAGTAAATTTTCGACTTTCCCGATACCTACACCGTGGTTAAATAATTTTTTTTTTTTTTATTTTCAGTAAGAAACGCTTCCTTTTTCCGCTGTTTGATGAATTTGCATTCCGTTTAAGCAAAAGTTTGCGACTTACCCATTGCGCGCAATTTATCCAAACCGTGAATTTGTGGAAAGGAACTTCTTAGTTTTTACAGACTTTCGTAGAATAGATGACCAATTCCGTTACATGCATTCCGGTCGTTTTCCCCGAATAGAAGGAAGCCACATGATTTGACCAAATAGCCCTATTACGAGAACCGTGCTCGTTTATTTAGAGAAATGCTGAACCTATTCTGTATTATGCCTTCATTTTAAAATCCATCCTTAGAATTTCATTGCACGCTCGCTCTACATATTAGTCTGTAGACCGAACCGCCTGGAATTTGCCTCGCGTGGAAGTCTCTTTTTTTTTTTCTTTTTGCAATTTAAACTTCCACAGACCTTTGAAAGGACGGACTTTGCATATTTATTACGTAATTAAAACATCATCCAACCAGTGAGTCTAACGTTGCCGCTCGTA